TTTCCCACCAGCAGTGTACAGCATGCCTATTTCCTCACGCTTTTGCCAACACAGAATTATTTGATTAAAAAATTTTTTTGCTGATGATGGTACCTCATTGTAGTTTCAATTTGTATTTCTCACTGTAAAAGACATTAAGCATCTTTTCATGTTTTATTAGCCATCTGCATGTTCTTTCCCACTTTTTCTGTTCAGTCACTGATTTGATATACTGTAATATGAGGTCAGTTGTAAACATGGGCTCTGCTTACCTTTTACCCTCCGTATCTAGCCCCTCCTCAAGTTCCTCCTGGCTTGGAAACAAGCTCACCCAGACAGACCATTCCTGTGGCCCTACACCTGTTGATGTAAATCAGATGTAAAGCAGATGGGTAAATTCACTTTCGTTAGGGGCCGGAGACCCCAAATGTTTAAAAGTAGCTTTGCTGGTAAATAAAAAGAAAGCCCGGAGGGGGTTTGGACAGAGAAGAAGGGAGGGGCTGGGGGGAAGGCGTGCCGGTGTCCCGCAGCGAGCAGCTGTGTGGGGCGTCTGCGGGATGAGCGCGCCCTGATAGCTGCTCCAGCGGCAGCAGGTCTTCTGAGAAGAGGAATACCAGTTTCTGCCAAGGACACATGGAAAGTTTTCTTTTCCCCATAGGTTCTTGGCAGCCTTGTTAAAATCATTTAAAACAGTGAATGTGATAGGAAAGCCAGCCACTAAGAGACTTCAGAAAGTATTTGTCATTCCTAAGAAATAAAATAAACCGGGATTTAGGCTTGGACAGAATCCAGAGGTTTGTTTTGGCATAGTTAATTACAGCATCTTAAGAAGAGGGGATTTTTACAGGAATTTTTTTCAGTTTTACTTTCTTTTTCATGATTGAAAAGTCTCTCATTTGACAACCAACAAAGAACTTCAGGAACAGAGAGCTTAAGTTTTCTTGACACATTTGAATTTTCTCATTATGAACATTTGTACCTTTTTTCAGTAACTGTCAAGTCCTGTGTGGTCTGATCCTGTGGAGAGGAGATGTAGGTGTTCTCCAGAGTTGTGTGTGGCATAGACCTCTGGGGCGAGCGCTGCCCTCAGCCCCCGCACGCCGCCCTGCCTGCTGCTCTCAGGACGAGCAGGAGAGCACGTCCTCTCCTAGCTAGTGAGGCCCCTTGCTGCAGAGCTTCTGCAAGGAGATTGCTGGCCTTTGACCGTGTCGACTTCTGGAGTCCGACGCTGGAACCATACTTGAAGCTGCAGACTTTGTTTTGTTGTTGACCAGGCCAGTCTTTTAGATCCTTGTTGGTTGATTGATAGATTCTATTGAGCTTGATACCAGCAACAAACAAAGCTTTTTTTTTTTTTTTTTGAGACAGAGTCTCACTGTGTTGCCCGGGCTAGAGTGCTGTGGCGTCATCCTAGCTCACAGCAACCTCAAACTCCTGGGCTCAAGCGATCCTCCTGCCTCAGCCTCCCGAGTAGCTGGGACTACAGGCATGCGCCACCATGCCCGGCTAATTTTTTCTATATATTTTTAGTTGTCTGATTAATTTCTTTCTATTTTTAGTAGAGACGGGGTCTTGCTCTTGCTCAGGCTAGTCTCGAACTCCTGAGCTCAAACAATCTGCCCGCCTCGGCCTCCCAGAGTGCTAGGATTACAGGCGTGAGCCACCGTGCCTGGCCCAAACAAAGCTCTTTAAAGTTGGTTTGGTGATCCTTTTTCATATGGATTGGTCTTGAACTTCGGTACACGTGCTCATCTATAGCTGCGGACAGCAGGAGCCTCTTATGAGAACTGTGATGGCCCCACAAATCTCGCTGGTTTTTTTGCTTTTATTGAAGGAGTCAGCATTTGTTGAAGCTGAAGTTTGTGTAAAATAACAGTAAGTAGATTTTTTAAATTTCCTGGAAATTTTATGATCTGATAAGGGAGACTCTTACTCTTGTTAAGGCTTGGACATTACCCGCTGAGTGTCTTATAGTGTTTTCATGAGATTGGAGAGCGTGAAATGAGGGCAGGAACGTAGGTGGAGGATGCTGAGGTTGTTCCTATTTCCTGAGTGGAAATTGAGCAGCTGCAGAATCTCCCAGCCCTGCCGTGGTGCCTTTTCTCGTTGGGACTGCTGCCACTGTCTCGCCGGCCTGGACATCTGCCACAAGTGCACACACACCTGTGTGAGGTGGGGAAATGCATGGGGAGGTGAACACAGGTCCTGTGGTGTGTGTGGACAGTGCGGCTGCTTCCTCAATGCAGGCGAGCCTCTCCCCGCTACCGCCGCGCCCTGCCCCATCACAGGCGTGCGAGGCTGTGACCATTACCCCAGAGTACCTTTTGATGTGAATGACTTGAAGGTCAGAACTAGAGTAAGAGGCCATTTTCTCTTGACTTCAGTTTCCTGTCAGACCTGCCTTCTCCCAGGACACTGACCCTGATTGGGTGCCATTCACCAGGTGAGACCCCATCCTCCTCCCACGGGGTTTGCCTTCCCTTCAGAACACGGGAAAGTACGGTGGTTCCAAGAGGATCTTGCTGTTACTGAGATAACAGGGAGGAAGATAACTATATACTTCCCTCTGTCTGCCATCCCTCCTGGGGAGGAGGCTTCCTTTATGACCCAGCAACACAGAGGAACAAGTGACCTCATAGCAGTGAGGGGACAAGGATGTGAATACAGCTAGACACTCCTTCCTCCAAGTCTATGGCAGGGGGCTGGTGGTGGTGACACCTCTCACTTCTCTGAAGTACGCAAGGTCAGCTTGTGGCCTTCATGATACATTGCCTGCCTTGCCTGTATTTGCTGAACAGAGCTGGTCACCCTCAGAAGTAAAAGAAGGGAGCAAGAAGTTAATGAAGGCTTCCAGTCCGGAACAGTGTTAGGACTAAAAGTCAGAGGACAGGCTGATTGTAGGAGTTTGTAGACCTTAGTATAAGTGTCCTCACCTGCATCCTTGTAGTATTAATGGTAAAGCCCCTGATACCAGAAGGCCTTGTGTGCTTGTCTCGGGGGCAAAGGAGCCCCCAGCGGGTTGAGTCTGTGATGGCTGCCTCGAGAGAAGGACGCTGGAGAAAGAGGATGGCTCATGCACTCGGGGCTAGAGGACGCAAGGGATGTAACGGTGTCCACATGGCTCCCAAGATGCGCCTCATTTTGTTTTAGGAAGAATCTTGACAAAGTAGCGATGGGGCTTATTTGGGGGATGTCATTTTTGTGTCTCCAAATAAACTTGAGATTCTTAAGAATTTTGACCATTAATACTTTTAAAGAAAATATACCCAATGTCCGTATGCACATTCAGTTAGGAACTAAATGTGGATTCCTTGGTGACTCACGTGATGTGCTCATGGAGTAATACTCCGTGATCTCAGTGTACACATGCAGCATGCTAACAAGTAACTTTCTGGATCACATTTCTTGAGGTTGAGTTGGATTTAAAATGATGTTTAATCTCTGTTCTGGGGAGTAGGAATAGCAGTCCAGTGAACATCTTAATCAGAGTGCCCATACTGGCTCTCTCCAGGCTGCCAAATTTGCTGTGTGGGGCCCAGGAGTTTCTTGGCTATGGCCATACCTGTTTTTGTGGCTGACCAGTGTCAAGGATCCCATAGGTGGCATGCCAGGATGACAGTGCACTCCAGCTGGTAGCACTTAAGAGCAAGGGCTAGGCCTCAGCTGGGGAATTGTGGGCCAGGGCGGAGCTCCCTCACTTCGAGGAGTTAGGACCAAGGGCCACTCAAGTGGGCCTGGCAAAGGGAGGTGGTGATTTCGGCTTACTCGCGATACAGACTTATGGCACTGTTTCCCTGGAGGTGTGGGTTGCATGAAGCAGATGCTCACTCAGGCTCACTGTCCCAGGCAGGGAAGAGTGTATTTATGTGCATACGCATGGATCTGTGAGGGCCATGGAAACACTGGCGTGGGAGCCCTCTAGCGGTGCTTGTGCATCCTGAGCTCAGCTTCTGTCCCTGTCCCCACTCCCCTGTGTCTGCTTTCTCCCCACTGTGGTGCCTCCTTTCCCTCTCAGATCTTTTCTCTAATTTTGATTGTTCACCACCTGAGAGGTCCTATTCTTTCCCATGGACTTCTTGTTGCACGTTCTTTCAAATTTAATTTTTCTTTTCTTTTCTTTTTTTTTTTTTTTTTGAGGTAGAGTCTCACTCTGTCACCCTGGGTAGAGTGCGGTGGCATCATCATAGCTCACTGCAATCTCAAGATCCTGGACTCGAGATCCTCTTGCCTCAGCCTCCTGAGTAGCTGGGACTACAGGTGCTCACCACCACACCTGGCTAATTTTTCTATTTTTCTTAGAGATGGGGTCTCTTGCTCAGGCTGGTCTCGAGCTCCTGAGCAATCCTACCTCGGCCTCCCACAGCGCTAGGATTACAGATGTGAGCCACCACACCCAGCCAGATTTAAATTTTCTTGATGACTTTTCTTAATTCTCAATTCCAAGTTTAGATTGGTTGGGAACATTTTGTGCTCATTATCCTCCTAGGCCCTGATTGAGCTATGACTGGTGGTCAGGTGGGCTCCCTTTTGTATAAGGATCCATGGCAGGGCAGCGAGGTTTCACAGACCAGAGCATGGGTGCTGTGCATGAGGCTGTGGAGTAGGAGAGAGCTCTCAGATGTGCCGGCCTGGATTAGGGTCCTTTCAGGAACTAGGTGAGTGTGCTGGGGCTGGGAGGCAAGTGTGGCAGCACGGTGCTTCACGCTTCTTTCGCATTTCTATAGCACCTTTTAGTACTTGATTTCTTGACTTCTGTATGAACTAATTAAATTTAGATGCTCGGGAAACAAAGGACCACTGAACCTGCAAGAGATCAGTGGTGGTGTTCTGTAGTCTGAGACATTTCTTGGCTACACTTCTATCCGCAGATAAGAAAAAAGAGTGCTGTTTAATGTGTTTTGCCTAGGCTTGTAGGGACCTAGTGCATGTTACTCATTGAGCAGTGTTGCCATTCAGAAGGGGACAGTGCCCGTGGTCCCTTAGCTCATTCCTGAACACTGACCAGCGATGTGTCGTTACAGGCAGGGAGTCCTCCGTCAGCGTCAGCTCCGGCTCCCGTGTCTGCCTTCTCCCGCACTTCCGTCACACCGTCCGCCCAGGACATCTGCAGGTAACACTCTGCTTCGGTGCCGTGACGATCAGTGTGCGTCCCAGAAACAGGCACTCGTGTCTGTGGGTTCTCGAATTTCCAATTGCTTGATCAGTCTACCTTTGGACAGCTGGCCCAGTTTTATGTGCTGTTTGCTCACAGGTTGTTACCCATGCAAGTTTCATTTCTTCACTTTGGTGTCTATTCTCTTTTAAAATTGTTTTTACTTTCTGTGCTTTTATTCCACTCTTCTGCATGCAGTTCCAGTGCAGTGTTTTCTGAGTGTTGTCACCACAGTCCTGTGCAGTCTGCTGTTGTCTTGAAAACTCCTCAATGCCAGAGTTCTCTGACACAAGGTCTCACTGTGACAGTTATCTGTAAAGACACAGTACAGGCGTCAAAGAGAAATTCCTTTGGTTCAGAATGGGTCCAGGGCTTCAAGCCTGGTAAGAATACCAAAGCCAGAAGAACACTGAAGTTCTCAAAGTCCCTAAATGATGTGGGCGAGAAGGCCCAAGATACTTTGGAAAGTTTTGACTATGTGGAAAGAACTTGTTCTGAAGGAAAATTAATACTCCCTCAAGATCCACGGCTCAGAATTAACAGATTCCATCATCAAGAAAAAAGAATGCTGATCCGCAGACCTCTTGGCAGTTCCAAGCATTCTTGTGTTTCGTCCCTTTCTGCCAGTTGTTCAGCTGCCTCAGAGGTGGGAGCTGGCAAGGGAGGTGCGCACATCCCGCTGTCGGACGAGAAAGGAGATGGCGAGGCCGTGTCCAGAAGCCGGCGGCTGCTCCGGTACCTGCTCTCTCTCTCACGTGGCTCGAGCACCAGCAGCCTGCACAGGTTCCACGAGCTGGAGAGCTGCGCCGCTCACCTGCGTGCCGCCAAGTCCTCCAGTGGGCCGGCTGGGAGCACCGGCTTCTGCTCCGACGAAATGGGAGACGACGACGTCTTTGAGGACAGCACGTCCACAAAACCGAAAAGCAGGGTCCTGCGGGCGCCCCTTTGCTCCACAGAAAAGGACAGCGACCTGGATAGTTCTTCTCCCCTCTCTGAGAAATGTCCCCCCATGTCCCCTGTGTCCACATCAGGGGATGCCTGCAGGTTGGTTTGCCAGGAAGCGCTGCTCTGGCCGTCTCTGCTTGCACCCATAGCGTCCTCTTGCTTTAATATGTGAAGTTTCAGGAAAATGAAGTAATAGGCAGTTGTAGCCAATTGTGGGTTAATAGTTTTCTCCAGAAGAATGGAGTATGGTGTCATTTGGAAAACTAATTTTTATGATGTGGGTTCCAAGATACTTTCACAGATGATACATGAGGAAGAAGCTCCACATATTAAAGGCCAAGCTGACTCTTCTCAACTAAAAATAAGTAGATTTTACATAAAGAAATTTGAAGAAGAAATAGTATCTCCAGCTTTCCAGCTTTTCCTGCACGCGTGTGGGAAGTGGCTGTTCTGCAGTGGCTCCTCCCTCCCTCCAGCTGTGCCCAGGTCCTAACTCCACTTCCCGCCTTTATCTGCCTTGTGCAGCATCCTTGTCTGGCCTCAGGGATTCACTTTTGTCACACTCTTGTGCCTTCCCCACTCTGACCTTTCCCTAGTCTCCCCTCCTCATGCCAGCTGTCATCGCCGGATGAGAAACCCCTCTCACTGAGACAGACAGCCCGAGAGGCGGCTCCTTCAGGAAAGGTCCCGCCCTGCTCTCCAGCTGCTGGGAAAGAGCCTCTTTCTCAAAAGCTTGTTAAAGTTCCTGGAGGTTAGTAGTTACATCCTGCCGCACGCCTCCTTGGAAATAAGGAATGCTTTTAAATTAACTCTCACTCACTGCTATGAGTAGTCCTGAAAAAGGAAATGAAATGGTAGCACCTGATAACGGTGAGTGTTTAGGTCCAGGAGAGGTACTGTGGTCTTTGTTTACTCCCAGAAAGAGGACAGAAATGTACGGTTGTGGTGTGTGGAGGTGAGGTCAGTGTTCATAGCTAAAGAGCAGTGTCATCGCCTTTTAAGTCACTGTGGCATTTTTGGAAGGTGGAATGCCGGGTTTGTTTTACGTAGAAATTTTTCGTCTAATTATTTTAACATCTTACTACATTGTAGAAAATGATTTCGGGTTGCCTTAAATTTGTCTTTCAGTTGAAGTTCTTAAGTCTTACTGAAAAGTGACTGCTTTGTCATTTCTTGTGTCATTTTTTCCTCTTTGTTACCAAATGCCATCCAGATATTCCATGTTGGTGCGGTAAGCTAGAAACTTTTAGTTTGTGGTCACTGTTTTCATATGTGTTTGTATATTTTCTGCTCATAGTTACTTCTGTGTTGTCTGTTTCTGAAGGTTTTCCAGGGTGGGTGGGGATTGACTTCCTACTGAAGCGTCACCTTCCTCGTTGTGGGACCCCCTCACAGTGACTGCTTTCCTTCGATACAGGATCTGTCACTGTGAGGGAGATGACGAGAGCCCTCTGATCACGCCCTGCCGCTGCACGGGGAGCCTCCACTTCGTGCACCGGACCTGCCTGCAGCAGTGGATCAAGAGCTCGGACACGCGCTGCTGCGAGCTCTGCAAGTACGAGTTCGTCATGGAGACCAAGCTGAAGCCCTTGAGAAAAGTACGTGTGAGGGAGAGACGTTGCTGGAATTGCTTTGCTCTCTGTAAAACAAGTGCCCTGAAAGAGTTAGCGCCGCAGACCGTGCAGCCATGGCTTGCCTCCTGTGCTCGTTTACTTGAAAAGCTGGGGCTGGTGCTTACATTCATGCTGTAGAGTGTCCTTTCTGGTTCTGACTTCCAAGTCCCTCCCTTCAGGAAGAAGCTCTTTCTGACCGTTCCTAATGTTTCCTTTTCCTTCAAACTAAGCCTGCTTGTTTGTCTGTGTCGGTCATCTGGCCCTTGACCACAGAGTGTTCTGAGACATATCTTAGTTAGCATTTAACTTCATATGTATTAACTGTTCACGTCTTGCCTCTCCACAGAATTAGGACTGTATGTTAGAGATTAGTATCTTTCCCCAGCACTCAGCACAGCATAGCACACCATAATTGACTTGTGTACACCTGTGATCAGCGTTTGCTGGATAGGAGAGTGGGTGGGTGGATGGGGAAAAGAAAGGAACCACGGACATGTGACATGCTGCTGTCTTCAGGTCCCATGTCATTGCTCCCTCTGAGAGGAGCTTTGTCCATGGCACTGGCCTCCTGTTTAAATGTTCACTGTTCTCATATATCTCTCTACATGCCCAGCACAGAAGGTTTTGTTTGGAGGAATAAGAGACTATTCTGTCTGAAAACATTAATATGTAAATTGCAGGGGGTGTCATGTAATCAAATAACAGTACATGGCAGTGCAAATTAAATGTGAAATTATGTGGCGGGGGAGCATATTGGACATTGAGAGAAGAAAGTGCTCCGGCTAGGTGCCAGGGAAGTAGCACACTGGCAGCGTCATAGAATGTTCGGGTTTCAGAGTGGTTCTTGGAAGATGACTAGCACTTTGGAGGCGAAGTGAAAGAAGTTTAGAGAGGTCAAATTGTTTGTGGAGAAAAGCATACACCAAAAAGCTGAGGGCGAGTGTTCAAGGGCTGTGCAAGGGTCGATCTACGTGTGTCCCAGGAATAGTGGGGATCAGGGATCAGGAACACCAAGGTGTTGACTCTGTGTTTAGAGAGGAAGCCCAGGGAACTTGCTAGTGTATAAAACCCCAGCAGAAAGCAGTCTCATGCTGGAGAAAGCAGGCACAAACTATATAAAAAATGTTCCGCCCCAGTAAAAGCCTTATAATTTATTGGCTGTCTGTTCTATACTAATCTCTCAAGTGAGTCTTATGACAATACAGGTAGTCCACAAGGCTCTAGTTTCAACTTACCCTGCATAGATCCATCTGGATAAAGCTATGATTAGGGTTGACAAAGGATGTGCAGAGTGTTTACACTTTGTTCTTTCTCTCTACCTTTATGTGTTTTCTTCTGATTCGGAAACCAGTAAATGAAAATGAAAATCTGGCTATTTGGAGTAAATTAATGAGCTCCTAGAGGAGATGGGACTGGCAGAGTCTGCTTGTACCAGGAACTCTTAGCATCGATTTCGAGCTGTTGCTGCCAAAGTAGCAGAGGACCAAAGAGTGAGCGCCTTTGCCATTCACCTTCACAACATAGCGTGACCCATCTGCTAGTGTGTGTGGCATCATCAACCCTCTTCTCCCCTGCTTGTCCATGCCAGTCAGCAAGTCAGGGAGACTTAAAACATAGCACCTGGGTTTCCGGCCAACATGTCTTCAGTAGGACTAAAATTGTAGCATCCTCTGTCAGGCCATTTAATGTGTGCTTGCAAGAATGAGCAGACGAGGGCATTGCCGCTGGTAGTTCAGCACTCATCTTGATCCTAGCTTCTTTTCATTGCATAGAAAGTTGGCTGTGCCTGGTACCTGGTTTGAAGCCAGATGGTTTAAAGAGAACTACTTTATGTATTTGGGGAAATTCATCTAGCTTGGGAAAGGGGGGGGGGGATTGGAAAGCCAGTCTTGCCCATCTACAGTGTTCTCACCCCTCTGTAGCCCTTCACCTTGAGCCCGAGCCTCATGCCCTGCATGTTGTCTTTCCAGTGGGAGAAGCTGCAGATGACAGCCAACGAGCGCAGGAAGATCATGTGCTCAGTGACGTTCCATGTCATCGCCATCACCTGCGTGGTCTGGTCCTTGTATGTGCTCATCGACCGCACCGCTGAGGAGATCAAGCAGGGGCAGGCAACAGGTGAGTGCTTACGCCGACAGGTGAGCTCAGCCCAGAGCTCCCGGATGGCACACTGGGTCTCAGGATTGGAGCGTTGTTCCAGTCATACCACAGACGTCTGGGTTTCTGGACGGGGAACGCAGATTAGCAGGCACCAGGGGTCCTTTTTGGATGTTTCTCTTGATGCGGTGGTAGTTTTTGAGACTCGGTCAGAAGAGATCAAATCGTGGACCGTGAGAATCTCCACAAACTATCTCCTGGAAAAACAGGATAAAAGGTAGTGGACACTCTCTTCTGTCTCTCCTTTGACAAAGGAGGGTTTGGCCAGTTGAGAATCTACTGGTTGGGGTGTGCGCCTCTAGATCCTCCTGAGGCAGGAGAGTCACTTGAGCCCAGGAGTTCAAGGCTGCAGTGAGCTGTGATGGCGTCTGTGGACAGCCACCGCACTTTAGCCTGGGCAACATAGCAAGACCTCGTCTCCAAACAAACAAAACTAAGAATCTGTTGGTTATGGGAAGTTCAGAAGTAGTGTTTTATGTACTTCATATCTTAAATAAGATCTACTAATACGCTGAGTTTCGTTCCTTTCAGGAATCCTAGAGTGGCCCTTTTGGACTAAATTGGTGGTTGTGGCCGTCGGCTTCACCGGAGGACTTCTTTTTATGTATGTTCAGTGCAAAGTATATGTGCAATTATGGAAGAGACTCAAGGCTTATAATAGAGTGATCTATGTTCAGAATTGTCCAGAAACAAGCAAAAAGAATATTTTCGAAAAATCTGCACTAACAGAGCCCAACTTTGAAAATAAAGATGGACGTGGAGTCTCTCATTCCGACACAAACTCTTGTTGCACAGAGCCTGAAGACACTGGAGCAGACATCATTCACGTTTGATTGTCTGGAGGGAGTAGTTTTCCTGGACATGTGTGAAGAGCTGAAGGAAATTGTTTACTGCCAATTGTGTACCTTTCTTATGTCCTTTAATAACATAGACTGGGCAGGTGACTATTTTTAGTGGCTTCTCTTTTTCTGAACCCTCCTTAGTGAATCTCCTCGAAAGCCCTTCCAGGAGCCAGGCATGGCTGGGTCCCCCCTCTGCCAGGCTGCTCTGTGGGAAGAGAAGGTGGAAGACCCCATGATGCCTTGATGGGGAGACGGCTGAGTTGCCACCATGATCTTGAGCAGAACGAGAGAATAAAATGCCAAACCTGAGGGAAGAGCAGGAGCAAAACCAGCCCTGATGTGCAGCTTCTTCCAGCTCGCAGCTTCCAGGCCCTGGAGTGGAGTGCTGGGAAATGTCTAGCCCCGAGGAGGGGATCCCCTCTGCACGGAGGAGAGCCCGTCTAGGCACAAACTCCTGCCCGCCCTCTTCTGATGCTGCCGCCTTGGCGCTCTCAAGCAGGCAGTGCCTGGTGCTTTGTGTGTGGTGGCATGTGATTCACTGAGCAAACAGCACTTTACTGAAGAGAATCTTTATTTTGTGATACGTGTGTCCAGTGGGATTGACACTTAAAGAACATCTCATTTAGAGATCTTCCCTTTGTTACCCTTGTTATCTCTTTTACATCATAATAGATCTAAAACCCTTTTTGCCTTATATATGCTAAGAAGTGTGACATTCACTCTTGTGTCCATAAGACAGACTTGTAACTTTAAAATGGGACAGACAGATCTGAGGCTTTTTCGTAACAGATTTCATGGGAATTAATGGATGTTAAATGGCAATTAGAGCGTAATTCCTATGCTTTTGAGCTTGTTTTACGACAAGTCCTTATTTCATAAGCCTGCTCTGTACTTTTCTTTTTAGTCAACACTGAGAAAGAAGGGTTTTTGAGATCTAAACAGAAGGAAAGGAAGTGAATAATTACAACAAAAATGAATATTTAAAAAATATTCCTTTATAGACAAAGCTCTCCAGTTGGTGCTGCCATCTTGGTTGGGGCACGTGTACTGCAGGTGCTCCTAGGCGCTGGCCCACCGTGCAGTTCTGCTCGGGGGAAGGTTCTGTGGAGTCAGCACTGAGGGCCAAGAGGCAAGTGGACTGGCTCTAGGATGAGGACCAGGTGTGAGCAGCAAACTGCCAGGGTCCCCAGCCACGTACCTGCCCATCTGTTGCCTTAACTGGACTGAACAGACAGGATCCTTTAGGGGCCCTTGGCCCCACTCTTGGTCCATTCTGTCATCAGGGATTATCTCCTGTACCAGTTTCATAAAACAAACAAAACCAAAATCACCACCATCAAATGGCCTTTATCCCTTTAAAAAGTCTGCTTAACATTCTGTTTTTAAAACCCAGTTCCATAGTACCAGGCAAATATGGCCAACTCTGGGAAAGCAGGCCGGGAGGGCCTACCCACAGTGTGAGGAGGGCACATGCTGTCTGTCCAGGTGACCTTCATCCGGCTGGCAGAGGGCGGTGAGGTGTCCGGCGGTCCTGCACTCACTGTCTCTGAGCCTTAGGTGTCTTGTCCGTCGTCCTGTTAAAAGGAGCAAACACAAGGTAATTTGTTTGCCTTTCAGAGTGGAAACCTGTGCTTCGTTTTGAGGTCCAGGATGAGGCTGAAGGGTCTCTGAGCTCTGGGCGCATTGGCATCGCCAGTCCTGGGCTGTGGAGCTGCCCTGCCATGGCCTTCTCTGGGCGGACAGGCGCTGTCCGGCCACAGCCGGCTCCTGAAAATAGGTCAGGTCAGCCTGTCCTCTCTCCAGGCCACGTCCAGCCTGTGCCTGTGTTCACTGCGCCCCAAAGTGCAATTACCCACACCCCTTCTCCTTCTGGGGACACCAGGCAGCCACAGACTGTCCACTCAGGGGAGCTGAATCCCAGGTCAGCCCTGCCACTGCCTCTTAGGAACTCTGCCCAGGCAAGGCCCCTGGTTTTGTGCACCTGTCCCTGCCACCCTCCAACAGTGGATGAGTGGTTGAAGACTGGGCTAGGTTTTAAGTGTGAATCCCCCCACCCATGGAATCCCTTCTGCTGAATTTGAAAAGCACCGAGACTTCCTGTAGAGAGGAAAGTGTGCTGTGGTAGGAATAGCCGCTGGGCAGCCCACCCGGTGTGGCTGGCACCCCCTCGTGGCAGGGGTGCCTGTAGTGTCACTCCCATGCCCAACCAGATTCTCACGTGAAGCCGTCTCCCTTTTCAGAAGGCCTAACACCGTCTCGTCATCTCTGGCCACTCTGTGGACAGTCCTCCCGCATCCTCCTTTCCCCTCCTGGCGGGGCACGCAGCTGCCGCCTGGACGTCGCCTTGCTTGCAGGTTCTCCTTCAGCACCTCCGATCCGTCCTGCCCTCGGGGACTGACTAGTAGCGGAGCGCCAAGCCTGGCAGGGGGTGCTCTGCTGCCATCTAGTGGGGACACAGTATCTGGCAGTATTCCTTTCGTCTGGGTGAACTTGCCAAGTTCTTTTGGGGAGCAATTTATTCCCCACTTCTCCCCCACCCCTTATTTTGCATTTCGCTTTAGTGGTAGGATGGCATTTGGCTGAACCATATGGAAACCCAGGATGAGGTTTCAGGGCCAGGAGGGCTGACGTTTGCGGGCCAGGGAAGGGGAAGCAGACAGGCAGTCTCCTGTGTGTCACCAGTCTCCATGAGTACCACTTCCAGGTTTCTGACTTCAGCAGGAAATGGATTTTTGTGTCCCAAGACTATTGTGAGACTCTCTCGGAAAGCCTATAAAAGATCTCTTTCTCCTCTGGGCTTCTAATGTCTCTCCCTTTTTTGCTTCAATCCCCCTTTTCAGTCATACAGGCCTAGCTTCTGCCTGTTCGTGTGCCCTACCTGGCCACAGGTGTGCAGGCCCCCGGCAGCGGGGCCAGTTTGGGAGCCTCTGGTGGTGCCTGCGTGGCCTGCGGCTGCTTCTGCAGCCCCGGCGTGGCCTGCAGGGCTAGAGGGGGGCTGGGGCCAGCAGGGTGAGCTCCACGGCGCTGTGGACACGGCCGGATGCAAATACATTTGAAATACTTTCCCTTTTGAATCTGGTTTGAAATATGCAGCTTCCGTCTCTAGCCCAAGGAAAGACCAAAACGTAGGGAAATAAAAGCATTTATCTTTGTTTTGGAAGTAATTGTTCAAGTCGCGCGCCTGATCAGGCACAGTTAGATGCAGTGTTCATAGAAAGTTGATTGTTAATAAAAACCAAATTTACACTGGCATGTGTGGTGTAGTTTCTAAAAGGCACTTCACATTTGCAATGTTTCTTACCTTGGAGAATTTCTAGTTATTGAATGTCTAGTTTTGTATTCTTTTGTGTATGTTCACTGTTTCTCAGTATTACCACTTGAATAATTCTCTGTACAGGGGGTTGTTTGTGCTATACACTGGGGTGTCTAACTGCAGCAATAAAGCCTTTCTTTAAAAAAGGAGTTTTGCCATGAGACTGCTTCCTGCCAGGAGGCTGGGGACGTCGGCAGGCACCCCAGTGGCCCTGATCACCTTTCCAGGTTTGTCAGGCTTGTCTGGAAAGAATATCAGGCGGCCTCTGGAGGTGTCTTTTCCACAGCCTGTCCCTCAGGCACTGGCATGTGTTTGGGGCCGGGGTGTCTGGGGGGTGCGTGATGGGAATGAAAATTGAGGCGTTTCACGCAGCTGTGCTTGCTTCAGACTTCCAGGCTCACTTGCTTGGGCTCGCCACTCTGGGGAAGCCGGACTCGGTGTGTGGCAAACGTCCATGGGAGCAGTTGATCGTGAACCCGCCTCGTCTGTGGAAACCTGTTTCCTGACCCACAGCCCAGCTGAGTAAGAGAACCAGGGAGAGCAGCAGGGTTGCTGGTGCCATCTCTGCCAGGCTGCATCTCCCAGCTTCTGGCGGGGCTTCCCTGAGGGATGGCAGGGCCACTGTTGCTCAGGTGCAAAGCCCACAGGGCTGGGAGAGCTGGCATCCCCACCAAGGGTAGGGGTTGCAGGAGGGAGGCCAGGCTTGCCCAGACATGCTGCAGCCTCGTAAGGTGGGCCTGGAGAATTCTTCCACACCAGGCTGCGGCAGACATGGGAGCTAAGCGCAAGGATGCTCTGTGGAGCCGTGGCCACAGCTGAGCGTCAGAGAGCAGGAGGCTCTGGCTCCAGGTAGAGGATGGGCCCACAGAGCCACTGAACCTGCTTGAGGACAGCCGCAGGGCTCAGTGCTGAGGGGTGGAGCTGGAAGAAGAACCTGTTCCTGTATGAAGGCGAGGGCTGGGGCTCCTAGAGGAGCCACTGTGTTTTTCAGGAATGTTGGGAGCTTGGCTGAAGAGCCACTAGGTAGGGTCTTGGTACAGGCAGGCCAAGCCTTCCTGTCCTTTGATCCCAGCCACAGCGATGGGGTATAGGGCTCCCGCACCCCCAGGGGATGTCTGGGCAGCAAACTACTGCTCAAAAGCAGCCTCCAGTTTTTGTAAATAAACTTTGATGTGCAACCATGCCCATTCACTTACATATCGTCTACAGCTGACTTCCTGCTGCAGTGGCCAAGGTGGATAGTGGGGACAGAGTGTATGGCCTGCAAAGCCTGAAATGCTTTCAGTGTGGCCCTTTATAGAAAAGTTTGCCAACTCTTGGTCAATGTGAATGGTGCCCTGGAATTGCTGGTGCACAGCCCATGTGACATCTTGGTGACAGAGATGTTGATGAGCCCTCTCCAGGGCCTTGGAAGTGCCAGCCTCCGTGTTGCTGGGGCTGGAAGGAGCTGAGAGGGCGGCTCCTCCCTGCTTGGGGTTTCAGGCTGCTGGGCAATGGATGATCCCCAGGGCTCCCAGGGAGCTCACCAGATGACCAGGGAATGCCCGCAGGCCTCTCTCTGGAAAACAGGGAATGTCTGGTTAACACGCTAACTGCCATGTGAGTTGTATTTAACTCACACTAGTTTCGAGCCCCGGGTCTCGTGAAGTATGTGTAACTCACGTGTCTCTTCACCTTGGGAGCCATGAGAACTATTTTTCAAGTTGCAT